GAGTGATTCTTAAGGAAGGTTTATCACTACATAGTATAAAACAAAGTCTATCCGACGTCTGTCTGTCCCTATGTATGCTTAGATCTTTAAAACTACGCAACGGATTTTGACGCATTTTTTTTAATAGATTGAGTGATTCTTAAGGAAGGTTTATCACTACATAGTATAAAACAAAGTCTATGCGCCGTCTGTCTGTCCCTATGTATGCTTAGATCTTTAAAACTACGCAACGAATTTTGATGCGGTTTTTTTTAATAGATTGAGTGATTCTTAAGGAAGGTTTATATGTATAATACATGCATATTGCACCCGTGCGAAGCCGGGGCGGGTCGCTAGTAAACAATAATTCCCATTTTCATATCTTTTGACTGCCTCGTTGGCCGAGTGGTCGCAAGTGCGGTCGGGCAAAGTATTACTTTTCCCTAATGCTTTGTTTTATACTATGTAGTGATATGTAGTGATTATCAAGTCACCTAACCAAAGATTACAACTAGACCACAAATTACGAGACACTGTACTTCATACATCCACATCCATACATACAAGTCACACACTCAGCCAAGTACTACGCATTTCAAATAAGTACAAAATAATAAAAAAAAAAAACAAAACGATGATTATCATGACAGTGCATCAGCAAAATAATTACGAATACTTTTCTAACTAACATTATTAATCTAATTAAAAATATATGGTCTACAACTTCATACACAATACTGACAATACAGGATTCGGTGGAGACTTCAAAAAGGCTAAAAAATTATAAAAAGGTAATATTTTTTACTAAAGATATCGTCATTCAAATCATTCTAAGCTAATAGGGTAGTTTCCAGGGTAAGAAAATTAAAAATCTGATTAGTCCGTCAGTTAGATAATGAAAAAAATATTAGACACGTATTTTTTTTATTTTCTCGTATAAAGTTACGTGTAAACGTGCTACATTTTGTAGCACGCTGTGACTTCATACGACATTTCAAATCAATATATCGTCGAAAGCATTTAATTTTGTGAAAAAAGAATAAATACGTGTCTAATGTCTTAAAATACCAGACGGACATTTAAATAAAATTTAGGAAACTACCCTATTATATAGGCATATACTTTTTTTGAGGGGCGAAAATCATTAAATGACTTCTCCCGCCTTGGGTGAGGCGAGAGTGAGTGTCAGACTCTTACTGACTAAAAACCACCCCATTCCTACTTCTGGTCTTCGAGCCGGAGCCCCGGCAACCCGTTAGGCAAAACGCGACTCCGTAATATGCATATACTGCAGGCGAAAACATTAATTTATGCAAGACATTGTGGAATTACTGAACACTAACTTTAGACAACACCTCATTAGTAATTGGGTTAACAGATGAATGTCGGAATACTCAAACGCTACTCAATTTTAAGTCGCGCTTAAGTATAGTTCTGTCTCCACAAATTCTTTGTAAAAGGACAGAGATGGCACGATATTTAAGCACGACTTAAAATTGAGTTACGTTTCAGTATTCCGGCAAAAGACCTCTAAGGGCACAGACAAAACGACAAACTTCAATTAACCCATCGTGTGTCTAAACGTGGATCCACGGGAGACACAGTGTATTTTCTATTGTGTCTCATATCGGTGCATTCAAGCGCTTAAATCTTGGTAAAAAAAGGCGACTCTCAAGGTTCGACTTTATATATAAACTCCATACAAATAATGTCAAAAATCTATTTATATCCACAGATTTTACGTTCGCTAGACATTCATTTGCGCTAAATTGTACCTTGTGCGCAAGCTTGCGCCATTGGTTAGCGCAACGATTGCGCAAACAAAGCGAGGTAGGCTTTAAAATCGATTATTGTGTGGGCCAATAAAAATACTTATTTAGGGGCAGTCAGATGCCATAAATATGTACAATAGGTCTTGTAAAAACTATTGCACAATGCTATGGCTGGTTTGACAGTCTTTTTATACCAATAGAGGCATAAAATCAAAATCTAAGATATGTAAACAACATCATATTAGAATAAAGGTTAGGAAATACATCACGGATACAGCTTAATACTAACTTAAGTCAAAAAATACCTATGCTTTAGGGAAAAGGGGTCAAAAACTACATCTTACAAACAACAAAATAACTTAAAAATACCACAACACATACATACGAAGCGATCATGTGCTAGCAAATAAACTATCTACATACAATTGTATACAAACAGACAAATTGTGCTGACCTACTGATAGCCCGCCCTCGAAGTTTGCTATAAAAGAAATATTTATATCTTCATATATTATTATATCTTATAGCTTTTAGTATAGCTTAGACGTAAAGCTATTTTATTTAACCTTCAAGCGGGCGCGCGTAGTCGAATCGACCGCGGTTAATACATTTTCGTTCGTATTTTTATTTTTAGTTGCCACATGCATTTCTAATTTCTAGTAGCCTGTCACTATCTTTTTAGGAGTAAAATAAAAACTGTTCCGTTGCTTGAAGCGCTCTCTCCACTCCACAAATTACAATTGTTTAGGCTCTGGCGCAGTCGTTGAAAAGACTACACGCGCCTGTCGTCGAATAGGTTACACGCGACGCTCAACGCGACATACACATGTCAATATTATCTAATTCAGCTTGGAGTTTTGGTGTTTTAAAGCGTTTTTTGTTTAAATAAGTAAGTCGTTTATGGTTATCGCAAAGTGCAGTAATCGAGGAATTACAAAGAGAAGACGAAGAAGAGAGTGAATCAGAGCTTAGCAACCAAGGCTCTGAAACTTCTCATCACATAGTTTTAGAAGAACATCTATCTGATGTGATATCATCCTTGTCGGATTTAGATGAGAATAATTTGTAGCTTACGGAAATAAATAGCTGTTTTACAGGACGCGATAAAGTTACTAAGTAGCAAAATCTGAAAAATTACTAGAATACTGACTCAGACGAAAATAAAATCAAAATTAATGAGTTTTTATCCTTACTTTTTATTTATTTTATGGTCTACGTATATAAACCAACCTAACATATGTAAACGGGTCTTAATTTTTATTTTGATCCGAAGAATATTTGAGATACTTTAGGTGACTTAATAATTGCTTCTTTTTCATAATTTTAATTACTTGTTCTGACAAATTTCTCTTTAAAGATAATGATATTGTATCTTAGTACAAATTAATAAATGATTATCCCATAGTTATTGCTTTCTTGGTCTTATTCATCCCATAGGTCTATTCGGTTACGCGCGCCCGCTCCCGTTACAAAAGACCGCGCGCCCGCTTGAAGGTTAAGTTTTATATATCGGACGGAAATTAGTTTTGAGTTTTTTGCTAACAATGTTTTTGAACTAAAAAGATTTTAAGTGTTCAGTCTAAACTTCGATTCTTTGTACAGACATTATTCTTATATGTAGATAAAGCCCGAATTAAGTCTAGTTTATTGAAAAAGAAACCTACCCAAAAATAGGTTAAATATAACCTATTTTTGATAGTTAATACACTTTTTAAACGCTCGGTTAGCGCAGTGTTTCGGTGCCAAGTTATAGCGCAACATGTCGCAAGTTTGATTCTCGCACGGAACAATTGTTTACGAATCATTACTCCAAGTCCATACACAGCATTACTTCCCCCAAAGGGATAAAACAAACATCATAACAATAGGAGAATTCTTACACTAGATAAAAATTCAGACTTCATATGTATATCTCTACATTTCAAAGCCGAAAAATCTCAATACCGACTATAGAACACTATCAAGGTTATTTCAAAACTGCATTGTTAACAAAAAACTCAATACATACAAATAAATAACTATAACATAGGCATCGGTGCTCGTATGAGGAACTAATGATGATATCTGATAACGTTGTACCAATGACATGCCAATTCAAACTAAACAGTTACACAAACAAGGTTTATTATTGAATAGCAGGCTTGTTGTTGATATGCCATATTTAATATTGAACTTAATGGTCATATTTCAAAGACAAAATGTCGTGTACAGCCGTTTTTGACCAATATCTACTTCAATATAAAACTTAAAAAAAAATCATATATCACATCGCCAGTCTCCCTTGCGTTTAGCAAAGGCCAGTGGCAAAAGGCAAGAGGCCTTTGCTCAGCAATGGCCTCTTATAGACTGGTGGTATTAGGGGAGGGCTGTCACGAAGGAGGTGTGAGCATTAATCACCACGCTAGCACATAGCGGGTTGGCGATTTGAAACTAGTAATATTTTAAATAGCTTTAATGTGACTAGAAATTAGTTATATTAAAATATGAATTTCACTTGAAGTTCAGCATCCTCAAATGCAACATTAAATTTTACTGTATATTCATTTTATTAATTGTCAAGTATCAAAACTCCAGAGTATTTGGAATATTTTATCAAAACTAAACAAGTTTAACTCGTCGAGTACCGTCATTATAGAACAATAGGTTGCGGTCACCGGTGACCGCTTGGTGTTTGACAGTTTAAATATTAAATATGACATTATTTAAGCTTAATATTCAATAACATTTACCTTATGTTTTACACAATTTTGATTAATTTCCCTACTAACAACATCAAACGATAGGATTTAAATAAAAAAACCTATTTTTTACTTCTTATAGCAAAATCGCAATGACTAGCTTTATTAATACTGATTTTGTTGATAACAACCTGAATTTAGCATCCTAGCCAAAAGTCTAAGTCAGTCAGTCAAAGTCTCAAAGTAAGTCAATAAGACAATAAGTCAAAATCAATATATGTATCAAGATCAATATGTCAAAATAAATGATTTAAAATTAATCAAGTCCAAGTTATTTACACAAAGACAATAAGTCAAAACTCAATCAGTCAAAAACAATATTTCAAGGTCAATATGTCAAAATTAATGAGTCGATCAAGGTCAATATGTCAAAATTAAGGTCAATATGTCAAAACTAATCAGTCAAAGTCAATATGCTGATGTTCAAAAGTGCCTTCCTGGTCTAATTGAAATAAATGATTTTGACTTTGACTACAAAGACAATAAGCTAAAAACAATATATCAAGGTCAATATGTCAAAATGAATAAGTCAAACTTAATCAAGTCCAAGTAAATTATACAAAGACAATAAGTCAAAACCAATATATCAAGATTAATATTTGAAAATAAATGAATCAGTCCTAGTCAATTATACATAGTCAACAAGTCAAAACAAACCAGTCAAATCAAAATACCAAGTTCAATATATCAAAATGAATGAGTCAAAAGTAATCAGTCAAAACTTAATAAGTCAAAGTCAATAAGTCGAAATCAATCAGTCAAAACTCAATCAGTCAAAACTCAATAAGTCAAAGTCATTACACGTTACTTATTAGCCACAAGATTAAAAGACATACATAATCATCTTTACCTACACAATTTTACATTAAAATTTACACATTAAGCTACACTTACTTGGCAGGCAGCTTATATAGGTATCCTTTGCCTTCCGTGGAACATACTAGCACTCGATCTGGCGCCAAAAAGTCGCCCGACATCCACCGCTCACCAGGTGGCGCTTGGATCGAACATAGAACTGAGAAGTCACCTGTAAAGTGATGTCTATAGTTTAGTTTATTATTGGTTATTGGCGGAGGTTTAAGACGCCCGCTTCTCATGCATCATGAGATTGCCGGTTCGAAACCTACCAACGGCAAGTACCAATGTGACTTTTTCATAGTTATATGTACTTTCTAAGATTATCTAGACACCACTGACAAACGGTGAAGGAAAACATCATGAGGAAACCTGGGCTTATAATTTCTAATTATAAGTTTGTAATCGCCAACCCGCACTGAGCAAGCGTGGTGACTAATGCTCAAACCTTCTCCGTGTGAGAAGAGGCTTGTGAGCATTTATAGGCTGTTGATGTAATGTAAACATTTGATTTTTATTAAACCTTGATTTTATTATTTTTAACAGCCTTTTTTTATAACGACCTCTTTCTGTGTAATAAAAATCTAAGAGTCTGAATTACACACACTTGTAATTGTTGTGTCATTGTGAAAGTTGGTTATCATGTATCGATTAGATGACAATACAATATGATGGTACCATCGAACTAGTCTGGTGATGGAATTAGAGCGTAGCTGATATAATCTTGGTACTGCCTACAAGTAAAAATATTGAGTTTGAACTCATTCTATATTAACTAAAACCGCGGGTTACTCACGTGATTTTAAACTGTCAAACACCAAGCGGTCACCGGTGACCGCAACCTATTGTTCTATAATTGTGTCTACAAAACCGGTACTCGACGAGTTAATTAATTCAGTATGTCTCACGATAGTTATTATAAAAACTCATTCGATATGTCAATTTTACTATTGATAAGGATAAACTATAAAAAGTGTGTGTAATTTTGTAGACTATCACCTGAATACTGAAATAATTTTAAATTATATTTAAATATCATTCCATCTCTGTCATTTTGCAAGGAATTTTATTTTTCATTCGCGCTAAAATTCAAAATTCGAACGAACACGGCACGCTCGAGCGGGCTCCGCGCTCGCGCCAACAGTCGCCGCCGAAACGTTGAGTGAGTGAGCGTGTACGAAGACGCTCCGCGTTCCCGCCAATTTTCTCGGTTTTTGAATCCGTTGTGGAAACATCCAGCCATAATCTGTTTTTTTAACAAGCAGACGGATCACCTGATGGTAAGCAATCGGCGTCGCGCATAGACACCTAGAACACCAGAGGCGTTACAAGTGCGTTACCGGTCTATTGGGAATTAGGAGTTTGAGGAACGTTCGGGATTCAGGGATTGGGGAGATTGGGGAAGGGAAGGGTAATTGGGCCTCCGGTAACCTCACTCATACGACGAAACACAACGCAAGCGTTGCTTTACGTCGGTTTTCTGCTAGGCCGTGGTATCAGTCCGGTCGAGCCGGCCCATTCGTGCCGAAGCATGGCTCTCCCACACTCAATGTTACAGTATTTCATTAAGACTTTAGAGAATTGAAGCTTACTCACCAGCATCATAAATCTGGCAATACTTGGCGCATACAATGAGCACCGTCCGTTGATTGTACGCACAGCAGTTTAACGAGAGTGCGTTTAGGCACCGGATCTGTTTCGATTCGTTTTCGTAGATAGGCTCCGATTGTTTATTCTCGTGCCCCAAAAGGGACCATACCTGTCGATAAAAATATTTTAACATAGTTTTATCAGGTCGAGATTTAACGAACAATGTAATAAAATCTAAGACATAAACTAACATCACGCCTTTTATCCTCGAAGGGGTAGGCAGAGGTGCACATTATGCCACTGTACAATGTACCACCCACTTTTCACTATTTATGTTATGTGTCCCATGTAATAGGGGTGAGCCTATTGCCATATACCGGGCAAAATTCCAGACTCCTTGCTACTACTGAGATTTTTTGAAAAAGGCCAGTAATATTTTGCCCGACCCGGGCATCGAACCCGAGACCCCTTGCCCGGCAGTCGCAATTGCGACCACTCGGCCAACGAGGCAGTCTAATTATCACGTTAATATTATTTTTTGCTTACCTTAACTGTACCGGTTATAGATATAGCTAATACTACATCGTCTTTTCTTGAAGATGGACGGAGTACCTGCAATGCAAGAAATTAATATTACATAACATAACATCACGCCTTTTATTCCCGAAGGGGTAGGCAGAGGTGCACACAGAAGTACTTAACACCCACTTTTCACTATTTATGTTTGTATGGCGAGTAAGCCTATTGCCATATACCGGGCACAATTCCAGACTCCGTGCTACCACTGAGATTTATGTATATATACTCACATGTAAAGCTGATATCCAGTCAGGATTCATCTTGGAACTGAGAGAGAACAATATCTCTAGAGAAAAGGGATCCATGATCAGGATCTCCGCATAGTATCCGTTGCAGAAGAGGCGTAGATCCTCACTGTTGCACATGTGGTAGGCCTGGATAGAAGAACATAAAGGTTTTAATATCATGGCTTTAATACATTGCAAGGATATTTAGAGGGTACATGTTAAAATAGAACACGATATATTTACCACGACGGTGGCAAGTAAAGCACGCGGCCCACCTGATGTTAAGTGGTTACCGTGGCCTATGAACGCTTGCAACGGGCCGAAACACATAATAGTAGGGGAGCCCATGAAGGGATTTCGGTAGTTACTCGAGCGCGTCAGATTAACATATGGGGAAAACCTAGTGTCATTTTGAATATACCCAACATATATCCGATCTGATTAGACGGGGGGGACTGAAAATTAAAAAAAAAGTCTGACTAAATAAAGTCAGTTTCGTCAGATTAAAGGAAGGTAGGTCAATACCGTGCTAAAGGAAGTGCGTTTAAAAAATCTGCCCATTCCAACTTGATTTGCAAGAGTGGGGGGATTTTGAAGGGTTCTCGTTTGTACTCTCCAGAACATTCAACCCCACCATGCAAACTGGCAGATTAAGAGTTTTTTATTATTAAATACACATGGAGCATGTACATTATCAATATCTGACACGCTCGACCACTAGAACAAAAGTTACGCTTAACAATTTCAAAGATCTGTAGATTCCCCCTTCCCCCACTGGTGGAAGAAATTGTCACTAAACCATTTCTTCTTTCTATCAGCATATCTTCAAAATCCAGTAGGTCCCAAGGACGCTCAAGTAAATCCCAATTTAGCATCATGGGCTCCCCTACTATAATGCCGCATTGCGTCGCCGCAACGCTAAAATCGGCAGTTTGCGTTGCGGCGTCGTGAAATAGAGCGTTTTATTGTCGTTCGATAGGGAAACAGTTCGTCGTGATTTTTTATTGTGGATAGACGTGTCTCTGCCATGGACCATCGTGAATAACTTATTGCTTATTTGTTATTAAGAAGACATTACTCTACTATGCTGGAACAAGCGCTGCGTTGCGGCGACGCAATGCGGTTATGTGTTTCGGCCCAAAGCATGGGGCATTTCAAGCGCCTTGCCGACCCTTAATAAACCTATTTACTCCTCCTCCTACTCCTACTCCTTTGGTCATGAGGTCCATGAAATAAGACCGAGTTTATTTCGAAACGGTGTCTAAGTTCTAAGTTCATCTTATCATCGTTAAAGTCAATATATTTGAAGGGTAAGAATAAAATAAATATAGTGGTGGTCAGGCATAAGGGCCAAAATATATAACGGCGTTGCGGCGCCGCGCCGCTAGAATCGACAGTAGCGTCACCGCCGATTTAAGCGGCGCGGCGACGCAACGCATCGCTCGTTTCAGCATAGCATAGTAATGTCTTCTTAACTCGTCGAGTACCGGTTTTGTAGACACAATTATAGAACAATAGGTTGCGGTCACCGGTGACCGCTTGGTGTTTGACAGTTTAATAATAAATAAGCAATAAGTTATTCACGATCGTCCATGGCAGAGACACGTCTATCCACAATAAAAAATCACGACGAACTGGTTACCCTATCGAACGACAATAAAACGCTCTATTTCACGACGCCGCAACGCCGCAACGCAAACTGCCGATTTTAGCGTTGCGGCGACGCAAAGCGGTTTTGCGTATCGGCCCTAAATGTCCGCAACAGTACAATCAGAACCACAGGACAAGATTAGAGCATGTCAATCTACTGCAATCTGAACATTTTTTTTTAGGAATCATCTTAGGCTAAAACTTTTGGCTATTTGAAATGAATATAAAAATGGATTCGTACCTGTATATTGGTGTGTATCTGCGACAGTTTGACACTCTCCCTACATTTGCCGTCCACCAGGTCCCAGGTACACATCTCACCGGCTTCCGACGATGACACTATAAAGTTGTTGTCCTGAAAATAAAACAAAATAATCTATATACTATATATAAAAATGAAACCCGTTTCCCGTTGTCACGCCATAACTTGAGAACGGCTAGACCGATTTGGCTGATTTCTTTTTGTTGTGTTTGTTATTGTCGGTTCTAAAGACAGAAAAAATTCCTGAAAATCCTACGGGAACGGGAGAAAACGGGATTGCGCGTAGAAGCTAGTATGATATAAAATTTATCAAAACCTTCACAAAATAGTAAAGAAAATTGTTAGTTAATTTACCGAATTATTCATAAAAAGTGGTACAAAAATGTAGTTTCTGATTCAGAGGGGTTTTTCCTCATGAGCAGCGTGCGCGGTCGCGGCGATGTCACGCAGCATACTGTGGTTCGAAACTAGTAGAGCTTTTTTCAGTATGTTCATCGGCCTTAAGTCTAAACCCAAGTTCTTTCTTCTAACCAATATACCTTACCATATTTTTTCCTGTAATTGATTAAATTTAGACAGATTTTAAGAGCAAACGAGCAAGACGAGTCACCTGATGGTAAGCAATTACCATCATTCATAGGACACCATAATACATTCCTCTTGTCTATAAAACAGACTTTCATAACATAACATCACGCTTTTTATCCCAGAAGGGGTAGGCAGAGGTGTACATTATATCACTGTACAATGTAACACCCACTTTTCACAATTTCTGTTATGAGTCCCATGTAATAGGGCGTGAGCCTATTGCCATATACCGGGCACAATTCCAGACTCCGTGCTACTACTGTGGATTTTTTAAAAACCCTGTAATACTTTGCCCGACCCGGGAATCGAACCCGAGACCCCTTGCCCGGCAGTCGCACTTGCGACCACTCTTCCAATGAGGCAATCTTTCATAATTTTTTAGACATAGAAAAATATAAGACCCATAATTACCTGAATAATAGAAGCTCTTGACAAACAAGTGACCGGTGCAGTGTGTCCGACTAACAAACATCGAGGGGTCATCTTCAAACTGTCAGGGTCCACCTGCCAGATACATATCTGACCGTCATAGCACCCAGTGACCAGTGTTTTCTGGTCTCTGGATAGGTATACTGATGAGACACAGTGGGTTGGGGCATGCTTGCCCCATAAGACCACAGGAACTATTAGATTTGTGCCCGGCATGACTGGAAGAGAAAGAAAAATTATTATTATTATTATTGTTGTTGTACAGAATTTTTAACCTTATCTCTTAAATGTTAAGATTGAAAACGTTGTGTGGGTAATGCATGGGCTTATAAACACTTTCTATTAATTTTCAACCTTATTCTCTTTTAGTCTAACTTGGAAATCGATTGAAAAAATGATAGTGAAGGAATTATTGATAAACTGGTTGTTTCTGATGTGAATTTCTACCTTATTACTTATACAATAGAGTTGAAATAATGTTAAAAAATTTTGAGAATGGAGGTTTTGTGATGAGCTAACATTAGAGAAGACATAAATAGTGAAAAGTGGAGTTACATTGTACAGTGGTATTAACCTGTTAAAATATTATCCCCTAAATTTGTTTATACAAAAGTAGTCTCTAAACATTGGAAATAAGGTCTATAATATAGTTAGTGGAGAGTGGTCACCGGTGACGTCTGGGATAAATGGGTTAAGTGCCGTAATGTGCACCTCTGCATATCCCTTTGGGGATATAAGGCGTGATATTATGTTAATGTTAATAAATTAGTATTGTAGTACAACTGCTTACCTCATACTTAACATATTAAAGATTTATTAAACTGTCAAATACCAAGCGGTCACCGGTGACCGCAACCTATTGTTCTATAATTGTGTCTATAATGACGGTACTCGACGAGTTAATTTCTGTAATTCTCAGTGATATCAATCTAGTCTTGTCTCTGAAGTACTACATGAAACTAACACAACATAACATCACGCCTCTTATCCCTGAAGGGGTAGGCAGAGGTGCACATTATGCCACTGTACCTCTATAATGTAACACCCACTTTTCACTATTAATGTTATGAGCCCCATGTAATAGGGGGTGAGCCTATTGATACCAGTCACAATTTTAGACGCCGTGCTACTACTAAGAATTTAAAAAAACCCAGTAATAATTTATCTGACCCGGGAATGGGGCCCGAGACGCTTTGCCCAGCAGTCGCACTTGCATCCACTCAGCCAATGAGGCAGTCGGTTTATTGACATTATAAATATTTTCTTTATTCGTTGAAGATAAGATAAAATTGAATATCCATAGGTCAAGTAGCTCCAAGTGAATTTGTGTATGTATCTTCAGATAAATCTGTTTTGGAAAGAATACCTAGCTGTTTCACTATTCGACAATAAGCTCACTTTATAACTATGTATTAGTAACTATATTAGAATCAAGAATGACAGGATAAATATATTTTTTACAAAGCAACCATATAGCAGGCAAAATAATTGTCACATATTGTTGACTGCCTCTTTGGCCGAGTGGTTGTAAGTGCGACTGCCGGGCAAGGGGTCTCGGGTTCGATTCCCGGGTCGGACAAAGTATTACTGGGTTTTTAAATATTCTCAGTACTAGCATGGAGTCTGGAATTGTGCCCGGTATATGGCAATAGACTCACCCCCTATGACATGGGACTCATAACATAAATAGTGAAAAGTGGGTGTTACATTGCACAGTGGTATAATGTGCACCTCTGCCTACCCCTTCGGGGATAAAAGGTGTGATGTTATGTAATTGTCACACATTACATAATAACTTCACACTTCTTTTTTCTAAAAAGGGGTGGTTAGACTGCATTTGCAGTAATGAGGTCCTATAACATAGTAGTAAGGGGTGGAACTATTCATAACATAATTCTTTTTACACATTTTTTCATAATTAGGAAATACACAATTATGGTGCATGATGTCATGATGAGACTATTTGTAACATTCTTATTGGTGCTTATTCTATCTAGAATCCCATTAAGAAAACAATTGGTTTTTAAAGACTTGATATCATAGTCAAAATTGGGTTATAGTGCTAATTGGTAACTAATAACTATTATAGTAATATGATAACTCTAAGTGAGTTTGAAACATTCGGTAGTTGAGGACTTTTGTAGGCACTAAAATGGAACTTAGAAGTTAGGACCACAATATTCTTATAAGAAATTATGGGAAATTTTGTTGGGAGATAGCTAACATAGTTGTAACAGGCAGAATAGATGTAAATTAATATTTTTCGTACTTAATAACAAGTAACAAACATAGAATATAAGTAAATTATGTATAATACTACAATAGTTTTGTAACAGACTCCACGTCAAGATAAAATTAACAACAATTATCTATTAAATAAGGATAAAAATAAACAATAAAAATTCTAATTCAAAATGACACCTAAATGAGAATATTAATGGCCAGAATCATGTGACAAGGCGTATACTACAAAAGAACGTTAGGTAATAGCATAAACAGCACATAAATGTACCGCGAAGATGTTTTGTTAGCATAATAACGTGATAAGACATAAAAATCGAGGATCACCTGCCTCAAACCCAAGGACAAACCAATTTATTACCTGCCTAGTAGTCGTGGGGATTGATAGAAAGGTTTCAACCACTTCTGGACTACTATACGTCCATGGAGACCAGCGAAACTTCCACTGAAATGCACCTATGCAATTATAATTTATTGAAAACACGAATACTGCGACAAAAATCAATCGACCCTGCTGTCAGTTTTTTGACAGCTGATGATATTTGACGTTGACATTAAATATTGCAATGTTGGCAAAACTGTGCGTTCTCCACGCTCTGTAACACGAAATGAAATAATTGTCCATCTGAAGCAGTAGGGTTAAGAAAAGTTTGTTTAGTCGTTATTACCGATGTCTTTTCTTTTAAATTGTTTAACTGACTTCCGAAAACTCTCTCGTTTTTATTTGACTATTGACTATTATTAGTTTATGCTGGGATGCTAGGTGGCTGAGATGGCCAAGCCAGGCCAAGCTAAGGTACATTAACATCACTAACGAGAAAATCTGACGAAAGAGTTTAAATAGTCAAGCCTTTCTCATTTTAAAACCAGAACGACATCAGACGTAAATTAATGACGTATAGATTCATTATAGATGCAATGTTATGATTTTACATTTATTTCGATTACAACAATACTAATTACAAAAGATGGCTGAGAAATTGAAACTAAAGGAGCGAACTAAATCGCAAAATTTCAAAGAGGAGAAAGTGACGGACTTGGCTACCAAAATTGACGAGACTGACGAAATGAAATTGAAAATGTTGGCGGCATTAGAAAAGCCGGAACCTGACGACCTTTTATATCCACCTGAACTAAATGCACATTTGCTTGAACAGCTCAAAGTAAGTGAAAATATTACTAACATCAAAACTTCAATTAATCTCCTTGTAATTAGTAGCAATCCTGTTCTGGTACTTGGTTTACTTACAGTCTTACTCTATAGTACCCTATACACGTCTATACGTGAATAGGGAAATCGAAAAACAATAGTGCGCTTTCTTGTTCCTTTCAAGATCCTCCAGACTTTAAATAAATCGGTCGACATGTCATCAAGTACAAATGTAAGTAAAGCTTCATCACACAATTCATTTTCAGGTGATGACTGCGGACAACAATGAACTCCGCAAATGCGTATTCCTCAAAGATCAAAACATAGAAGAGTTAAAGAAGACTATAGCAGATCTTAACCAGAGAATCCGTGACATAATATCCGGTTCAGGACCAGCGATATCCTCAAAGTCTGCTGGTATTATCAGTGCAAAGATTACAGAACTTTGCAAACAAAATCGTCATTTGGTAGCTGAGATAGAAGGCTACAAAACTAAAAACGCTGCACTAGAAAGAAAAGTTATGCAGCTGGACATTCTTAATAAAGAACATGAGAAACTTGACCTCTGTTTATGTAAAGATGAACCTATAGACGTGAACCCTGATGAACTTAAAGAACTGAACAGCAAATTGTCTTCAGTCAACAAAAAACTTTATGAAAGTAAGAATAGGAATCTAGAACTCAAAAATGATATTCTAATGGCCACGAAAATACTACAGCAGGAGTTAGGGGACAAGTTTACGAGTATTAAGGAGTTGCAGAATGATGTGGCTGGTTGGAAAGGAAGGGCACAGCAGATTGTTTTGTTACAAGCTAAAGTTAGTGAGCTTGAGGATAAATTGAGTGGAAAACAGAAAGCAGAAATGAACCCGGACGTTAAGAGGAAGGACCAGAGTCAGGTATACTAATTTAGTCAAATCTTGACTTACTTGTTCTTTTTTGTCGATTACTCGATCTACCTAACGAAATAAGCTTAAAAGCTCATAATTTTGTAAAAATATTGGTCTTGAGTCATTACCGCTTTATTGCTTTATAGGTACGCGTAGGTAAGATACAAAACAAACGCCCGAATAGTTAAAGGCTACTCAATTTTAACTTATACTTAGATACCATGCCATCTGCCATCTTATTTTATAAAGAATTTTTATGACAAATTTACAATTGAGTGGCGTTTGATATTTGGACATAATAAGTAATTTGTTCTTATAGATTATTCGCGAATTAGAACATAGAAAACGGAAAGAAATGGAACTTGCATTGAAAGATATAGATCTCCTTAGAGAAGAGAATCATGAATTGAAGAGAAAACTCGACGGTGCAAGGTGTCGCATTAGAAATCTTGAGTGCGACGCAACAACCATTAGGCAAAAGATGCAGACGTTTTCGGAGAAAAGTAGCCATGATGACATGTTGATTAATGAGCAAAGGGTGAGTTAGAGTTAGAAGTATAAATCGTGTTTCTGTGTTGGTATTGACTAGATGAACAGTTCACGTGCTGGTCATAAAATTAACGACTTAAGTACTTATTCATTTTTCAGAATCAAATAAAGACTTCAGAGCAGTATTATCAAGAAATCCTTAAAGAAAACACATCAAAAATGAATAGGATGAACACTGAAATCGGTGAATATCAAAAACTAATTAAAAACACCGATGCCAAAATAGATGCTCTGCGGAAACAAGCTTCAGAGAAGACTGCAAAAATTGAAGAATTGAGAGCTCAACTATTGCGGTACGAAGAATGCTCTTTACAAAGCATATTCTTTACTCCGATGAAAACTGCAACAGACAATGAGATAAAGAAGCTATCAGAACTTGTTGTAATACTAAACTCGAGAATAGACAACGAAAGACACAAATGGGAGGAACTAGAAGAGACTCATAGGAAAATGAAAGAAAAGAAGAGGCGCTTAGAAAGAAGACTTTATTCCTTAGAAGATGAGGTTAAACTGTTGAAAGAAACCAAGAAGTCAAAGTTTTCAAAGACTGTTATGAAAGAACATTCCGATGGTACCAATGGGTCCTCCACTACGATGCAACGCAGACAGTCTTCTGTTGGTTATGTGCCTGAGAAACCAAGTGAAACTCTAACTACTGATTCGCAGCCAGGGGAAGATAATCTTGACAAAGATGATCTAAAATACAAGCTGGAATTGACTGAAGAAAAGTTAAAAATATTAGAGGATAAACTAAAGATGATCGAAGAAGAAAAGCAATATGATTACAATCACTTAACCGAAATGATTCAAACATCAAAACAATTATTCAATGAAGCACTGGCAGTGCTTCAAAAGGAGAAGTGCTTGTGTTCGTAGTGCATTTTATATGTTATTTATTTTGTTTAATTACATAAGTAGTGGAAAATAAAATGTTTTATTTCATTTGGAACTAAAGTGAAACTTATTTAAATTACTTTACTTATAGCAACATTTTTATTCAATGTTTTTAGCTGGTTTTATGGAACAAAAACTACCATAGGTAGAAATCTTTTGTTATGCTCGCCACCCAAACCGCCGCCATTTGTCATTTTTTTGGCATGCGCGTACGGGGATGCTACGAAAATCGTGCTCTTGAGTGTTTTCTTACAATACCGAGTTTTAAACTTTGTTTGTGAATCGTGAAAAACCGTGTTGCTCTGTGAAATACCAGTGCTATATTATATTAAGTGTGTTTTTGTGTTAAAAACATTCATCATGAATAAAACTTGCGCAAGGTGTGAGAAAACAGTTTATCCGACTGAGGAATTGAAATGTTTGGACAAGGTAATTTTCACTTGTATTCCTTTAAAACCTATATCAAACCGGTTAACTTTTTATGGCATATTTTTACGAGAATAGCGATAAAAATAGTGATTTGAAAGTTCTTGTTACATTGTAACTTTCGGTGTTCTAAATTCAACCGTCTACAAACTTTTTTCGTAACTATTGTCGTGTGCCGGGCACATCAATTCATACAGCCGGACGCGTGAGTCATTAAATTATATAAATTGCTGCTGATATCATTGTGAGCTCTTTATAATACCGCATCTGTACTTGCATCGACCTTTTTACCTAATTAGAGTCGTCTTAGGCAATACGCGACCTTGTGTCACATTATGCATCGATTGTATTCAAATGATAACTTGGCAGAATGGACTTGATACCTTTGCTAATTACTTGAATGAGATGAGATAAAATTGGCGGCGGAATGCCCGAGAATTGTTTACACTAAAATTAATTTTATCGCGCTATGACGGGTTAAATATTTTATCATTGAGATAAGAAGTTGTGTACTAAATTGTATTAAAAAAGGTTTTAAGGTCGAAAAAAGATTTTTTCTAGAATATTTTAACATTTTAATCAAGTTGGTCTGGCCACAAATTCTTTTGTGAAACTCTCTTGAAAGTTTCATAAGTATGTTGTTTTCAAGTTTTGCTCATCAAACAGCAAACAATATCCTGTTTTTGTGCTCAAACATTCTCTGGAAATACATAACAACATGTTTGGAACTCCTTTGTAGGCTTGCTGAAGAGTTTTAAACATAGATATAACCTTTTTGTACAAAGAAAAAAGTTTTAGAAAGTTACAGAACTTTTCTATGAAGTTTTTAAAAGTTTCTATCATTATTAATATTAATGTTAGCACTCCTAAATAAAACACTTTTAATATAGAACACATAATTTTAAAACTGTTACACAAACAAATATTTTTTATAAGGAATGTGCATTTTTATGATCATGGAGGCCATATTTCCAGTTTCTAACTGGAATGCTTGTTTTCTAGGCTAGAAGTCTGCTAATTTTAATGTGTAATTTGCTATTAAATTAAACAAGGTACATAACTTTAGTCCAGTTTTTAAAATAAATATGCCTGCTTTACCTAACAAAGCTATTGCTATAAAAACTTGATCCGTCTATTAAGTACTCATTAAATAATAAACTCTAGTAATATTATTAGTTAGAAAAGATCTGATTCTCTATTTGCATTTAGTGGAACCTCCACCTCTATAACTACTGGACTGATTTAGAAATCTTACACCATAGGATAGCTTCTGTTCATAGATAGATCAGGAAGTCACATATGCTCCAGTAATCTTTTTTTCTTTTTTTTAAATGTTGCCTCACACTAAGATTTTCTCCTGTGTCGTGGGTGCGTTTACAAACCTTCAAACAAACAAAAAAAAGTAATCTAACCTATTTATAAGATTAAAAAAAATAAATCACTAATTTGTAGCTGTAGTAGTCAAAAACTATTTTATAAGATGTTAATGTTATATTCGAACAAAATCACACTATATAAGGTATTTTACACAACACACATTACTAAATCAAACTACACAGATTCTTGGTAACTATAACGAAAATAACTATTCTATGACAAATTGGTTTTCCATGGCAGTCATACTATAGTATAGGTACATTAATTAATGTTCAATAGTATGTTATTTCTAATTAAATAGAATTACTCATAAGGCGAAGTCATACTATGGATTATAAGTGAAATATGAGGTAAATGGTGTTTAAGTTGTATATTAAAACTCCATTGTTGCATTAATATTAATAATATTAATTTTAATTCCCTAAAACTAAGGCCCTGGCTCGAAGCAGGAGTAGGAACGGGATTGTTTTAGTCAGTAAGAGTCTGTCACTTTCTCGTCTGGCTGAAGAAGACATTTGATTATTCATGTGTAAAGTGCAAAGAATGAAAAAAATGTTAAGGGTTAGGCAATGTTGAGTCCCACATGAGCCTATTGTCATACACCACTCATTCTAGATTCTGTATATTTATTAAGAAACATTAGGAAAACCGTCAATAATATTTATCCCAACCTGGTAATGACCTAGCTAGAGAACTTGTTTTACAGTCCTTCTCTGGGTCTACTCTAATTTCTCGTTATTAGTTAGTCTGAAATATTGTCCAATGTAAAGAATAAGATAAAGAGTTCAAGTTATTTATAATAAAAGTTCACCTGAATACAGAAAGGCTACTCAATTTAAAGTCACACTTATGACTTGTTCGCACTATGCTGGTATTTTAGTCAAGTAGCAAGTATTTAGTAACTCTCTCGCTTCGATTTTGGGACAGAAGCAAGAAGGATATACTTAACACTCGCTGCTTGATTAAAATACTAGCATAGTGCGAACAAAGCCCCGGCTCGGGCTCGACATGCAGGAGAAGGAAAGTTGTGGTTTTTAGTCAGTAAGAGTCTGACACTCCCTCCTCATCCAGGCGGTAGAAGTCATTCGATGATATTCCCCCCTTAACAAAAAAAGTGCGAACAAAGCATTTATTATACTTCTGCCACTAGAAATTCTTCGTAAAATGACAGTGGCTGTATATTTAAGTAGGTAGGTACAACTTAAATTTAGCCTTTCAGTATTTGGGCGTTAGGTAAGTATAAAAATAATACTAAAATTAATCATACACATTAATAAATCAAACACATTTTTCCTACACTCACTCAGTCATACATACATACTTTATTATTACCAATTATTTTAAATTTTTACAACTTACATCAATCAAATTAGTTAGTTTTATAATAAAAAGGAAAAAAAATCGAATTAATAGTCAAGGAAATGAACAAATTATGTATTTTATTTACATAATTGCTTTTTTTTTACAAAACATTTTATATACCATAAAACGTAACACGACAATCTGAAAATATAATATGTACATTGTACAATGGGTGGCCAAATCGCAAAAAACGTAAAACAATGTCTTGTAATGAAATAAAACTAAAATAAATGATAAAAAACAGCGAAATTTTACACAAAAATCGTTATAAACTGAAAATGATCAAAAAACATCACCAAAAAACCAACAAAAAGATATGATTCCGGCCAGGATCGAACTGGCGGCCTTCTGCGTGTAAAGCAGATGTGATAACCACTACACCACGGAACCAGTTGCTCGATTGTTTCAAATTACTACCCACATTCTACATTCACTTTCATTCTACAATGCTATTACGTCATTGTAATAAAAATGGCTGTACCTATTTTGTATTCGACATGCGACATGTACTAGCTAGTAGCTACTCCCGCGTTTTCACCCGTTGCTCGGCTTGTTGTAATCTTAGCGGTATGTTTTATACCCTACAACCTTCCATCGATAAATGGACGATCAGACACAAAAGATAATTATTCAATTTGAACCAGTAGTTCCCGAGATTGGCGCGTTCAAACAAACAAACATTTTAACTTTAGATATTTAAGAAAGTATAGATGTATATAATATACTGCGTCGATGGCCGAGTGGTGGCAAGTGGGACTACCGGGTAAGGGGTCTCGAGTTCGATTCCCGGGTCGGGCAAAGTATTAAAAAAAACAAGCACGGAGTTCGGAAATGTGCCCGGTATAAGGCAATAGGCTCACCCCCTATTACATGGGACTCATAACATAATTAGTGAAAAGTGTGTGTTACTTCGGTGTGCACCTCTGCCTACCCCTTCGGGGACAAAAGGCGTGACGTTATGTTAAATGTATATAATTAAATTTTGTTCATGTCTCAACTTATTATGATATCGAAACGATTCTACGATAAACGCGACGGAAGATTTTCAATAAATGTTTTTTTGATATCTTCAAGGTTACGGTAATTTCTGGAAAATCGTGAGTTTCTAATTTTCATTGTGTCAAAATTTAACCTTTTAGCAAATATACTGTTCATTTTATTTCGCTATGAAATCACGTAGTTTTGTCGATGAAAGTGAATTCAATTGCCCTCTATTGCGTTTAAAAAAAATGAATCATGTGACTAAATTACTGTAACATCCAATCATGTCAGTTACTATGTAAAAAAATATATGATTTATAAAAATAGCTTGTATTGCTTATTAAATAAATGTGAAAGTCGAATTTCAAGATATTGTTTAGTTACAGATTTTATAGAATCTTATTTCGTAGTCCTATATTGGAGTACACCTATTAGTAACTTGATTGATATTGGTTATTTCTTACTTGAACTCAATTCCAACCTCGAACCCAAGACTTATAATAAATCTTTATTTACTAAAAACAAGCGAGTCTTACTTATCGACTCTTACTAGACGCCACTGTACAAACCCAGTAGTACTTTGTCTGACACGAGAATCGAACCCGAGACCCCTTACCTAGCAGTTGCACTTGCGACCACTCTGCCAACGAGGCAGTGTAGCAACGAAACATACTGAAGACAATAACCACGTTAAATAAACTCGTTATTTATCGTATCATTGCTTTTCAATACCTTATTGAAATAATGGACACCGAACATAATATGGTATCAGTTGAATAATTATAATAACGTATTACATAACCAGCAATTAAAATATTTATTGCAACAATGCGAACTAATAAAGCGTGAAAGTCTATACTGAATATAGATAGTCACCACGGAGTATCACAATCAAGGAGTTCTATCTTATAGAGCAATTGAACTGTAATGATTAATTATTAGATTGTAATACTGTTAACATTGAGAAGCAGGGAGTACTGTGGCCTTTGATCAACAGTGGACATCTTCCGGCTAATAATTGTAATAATCATGGAAGTCGTACGAACTGTCATACTGCGAGCTATTAACTAACATAGTGTCTATCAACTAGAGGTAAAATAAATACTAAAACGATGCTACACTTTATAAATCATTGGCCAAATGCTTTTATGCGTATATTAAAAAATATAAACCAAGTTCCTACTGTTTTCCCAACTTGGGGGAAATAAAAAGTTCCTACTGTTACAAATATAACGCTTCCTGTGCAACAAGTTATACCAGATGCTTTTTAAAACAAGGAGAAA